CTCTTTTTCTACATAGCGCTGTCAAAACGGCCCGTTGTTCGTGAACAATTTGTGTTCAACTTGTTAAGAAGCTTGTATTCGGCTCATTGGATAAGTTAACGAGCCAAACACGAACTAAGATTTGTTTGTTGGTGTTCAGCTCGTTTTGGCTCCAAATACTACTAATCAATTTTATATATATATCTTTGATGAGTAGTATTTTAAAAAAAATTAATTGACTACAAAACTACAAAGATTTATAATCAATTAAAGTATTAATTAAGAAAATAGAATTAAATTTATTAAATTAGATTCAAAAGATGTTTTAATATAAATAATAAATTTTAAATTTTGCTCAAACCCTTATTGTCTTATGACTGCATCCTACATGATTAGAGTTGTTAAAAGGACTTTGTTCGTGAACAGCTCGTGTTCGACTCGTTAAGCAAACGAGCCGAACACGAAGAAATATAAACGAGCCGAACACGAGCTGAGCATGGCTCGCCTGTGGTCGGCTCGTTTACACCCCTAGTCAGACAACATCAAATCTCATGATGATTTTGAGTTGTGCAGGTCTTTTTTTTTTTCTTTTTGTATGAACATTTATTTAAATGTTATTATAGCTACTAGAGGACCAATATGTAGAATGAGAAGTTCTGTCAAGTATGGTTTTCTTCGCTCTTCATAAACCCTACCTAGGTGATATGATCCCACATACATTCTTGGATTCAACACTCGAGTATATATTATTCTTCAATAAAAAATAGTTCCTCTTTAAATAATTAAAAATATTTAAAATAATTAGGTTATTGGCATTAATAATAGTTTCAAAACAAAATAATGTTTTCTTAATTTTTTTTTTCATTTAAAACAGCAATACAAGAATTGAAAAGCTTTATTATTATAAATAATTTTAAAATATTTATTTTCTAAATTGTTTTAGTTACTTTTAAAAGAATAATTCACCCCAAGCTTACAATTCCTAAAATTTGATAGTTATAATTGTAAAAATTTTTGCTTATTGCATGGTAGAAAATTCTAAATATCGAGAAATATTATCTATTAGCTCAATAAAATTTATCAAAACACACATAAATAAAAGATGTAAGAGTTAACCATATATATATTTTTTATGTGAAAAAATCGTTAGAAGGAAAAAAAAACTACGGGCTCTGACTCAGTCAAGGTAATCCACAAGAAAATTATTAGTACAGATGTCCATTCTTTTTAAAATTAGGGAATATTAGGTTATAAAAATTGACAATCACAACTTTATATTAGTAGTTTGGCTAAAAAATATCGCAGTTGGCTGCAGAAGATGTAGTTTTTGGCTACAACAGCTGTACTTAGCTTTAGGGTTGTTCGTCTGCACTTGTCATCAAGAGCAATGTTTTAGTCAGTAGCTCGCTACTTTCTTCTCTTTCTCCTCACCCCTGCCTTAAAGTGAAGAATGTAGTTATACGAGCCCTGACTATCCCTCATGTGTCCAAGAATTCGAGTACCACACCCTACACTCATGGGGAATCAAACCCCAGACCAGAGGGGATTTACAACTGACAAGCAGATGCCCGACCAACTGATCTGAGACTTCAAAATTGATAAAATATTGTACATTAAAGATATTTCAATATAAATAACTATACATCATTTAGTTAATTTATCAATAATAATACTTTGTAATTTTTGATAGATATTCTGTTGCACAAGTGATTGCAAACAAAATTATCGAAAAGCAAAGTGAGTACTCTTACTTTTAAATTTATGGTAACATTTTTTATTCTTTTTAATCAATTGTATTGATAGTTATTGGTTCAGTTGTAAGTTTATCCTGAATTATAAGCTATACTTTATTGTTCATATTTTAATGTTATACCAGGCTTTGTTTAATTAATACACTGCAAGTATAAATTTGTGTGCTCATTTTATCTATTGTGAATAAACATTGTTGCCTGTTTGTAAACTTGTGGCGATGTGTGGTATATTAATGTCTTAATGTTGTATTAAAATTTTGCACACAAATAGGACAAAAGAGATTGATGGAGAAGTTTTTTTATGTGGAGATCCCGAAAGGGCAAAAATCATAGGTTCGGACCAAGTTGAAATGATTCCACAAAGTCGGTGCATGTTACAATACTTTAACGAACCTTGAATGGCCAGAAGCAATGTAACAGGAGTGGGATGAGATTTTCATTAGGGAAGTCGTGGAGATCCGACTAGTATGAAGAAGAGTCAACAGTAAAGGTTGAGTGCGATAAAGTTTAATGTCAATATTGGCGGTAGTGACGATGATGGTGATGGTCGGGCAGCAAAGGTTTGGTGGCGGCAACGGCAGTCCGACGTCAACAGTGGTGGTCTGGCGGTGACGATGGCGAAGGCTTGACGGTGGTGGCCGAATTATGATGGTTCGATGGCAGTTGTAGCTCATCGACTGTGGTTGGGCAACGACGATAGTGGTTCGACTGTAGTGATGCGTCAACGAAGTGGTCAGGCAGCAGTTGTCCGACGGTGGTGGCGGCTCAACTGCAGTGGTTGGGTAGCAGCGATGATGATTTGGTGATGGTGGTGGCATCAGCAAGTTGGCAACAATCAGGTGGTGGTGGAGCTCGAACCCTCAAGAGCACAAAGCTCTTTCAGTTTTCTATTATAGGTCCAGATCCCAAGTCCCCTTTTTATGAAGAAAGTGTGGGTCTATCCACAGACTTTGTGAGTGACATCCTTTTTAAATATTTCATGAATTCGGACCACTTCATTGAATGGCCCCGAGCAATCCCTTTGATCGGATGATATTCTATGAGCACCCGAGTGCCTTAATAATGTTCAAATAGAGTGAATTTGCGCTCATTGGATTCAACTCAATGAGATGCTCGATTTGACTAAAAACTTGTCAGATTTTGAATCCACTTGATCATCCATTTACCCATCCAATGCCTCCAATTACACTTGTTTTAAACATAAAAAAATTTTCTGACTATAAATTCATCGTACTGAAAATTGATTTGATAGTTCAACCCAAATTATTCTTATTTTTTTAATTTATTTTTTGTCGAAGTTAGAATATTTTTAGAGAAATGTTATCTTCTAGAGGCCTTAAACAACCTTCTGATGAAGGTTCCAAACAATGACTTTTTTAACACTTATTTGGACATGTTCCATTAGCAAAACGAATAACATAAAGTTAGTAAAACCTAATTCTCAGGATTAAGCTTTTGGTCCTCATTAGGTTTGAAGTGTCATCTAGCACGAATCTAGATGAAATTTCTGATAAATTATTTTTCAAATTAAAATTTAAGATCATTTGTGCCCCGTTTTCAGTAAGTTTATAGTCAAACCAACATGCCAAAACTATTGACGCAAAAAATAGTTCAATTTGGGTCCAATCGAGCTCAAATAAAGCCATTGAGACATATTTAAAAACTCTGGATCATCAATTAAAAATTCAAACGAACACCAAATTTAAGATATTTATAGTCAAATAAATCATCTTGATGAGAGCAATTCAATGAGACTATGGCGGCTCAATTCCGATGGGGCATAAAATAATCATTTTCCAAAATTTCATAAACCATTTTCGTTCGAGCTTGGGAGTAACATTATCGATTTGATGTTTTTTAGTTAAAATATGTTGACATTAATTTGATATTGTTGGTCAACATCGATTAATTAAACTAGAACTCAAAAGACAGATAAAATGTTATGGCTCGACTCGATTGGAGCTTGTTTATGTTTGTTTAATAGCAATCAAACAACCTTGAATACTTTTTAAAATACTCGATTATTAAACCAACGAGTTTGAACATATTTCTTCATCCATTTTTTAAATTTCCACTCAAATATAACCCCAATCTATATTTGTCACTTTTATCAAATTCTCAATATTTTGACTGTGGTGCACGTAAATACATGAGTTTGATAGTTCAAGAAAATCACGTGCGTTTAATTTGTAAATATCAATGTTTTTCAGGTGGTTTGTGTATAGTTATACCTAGAGAATTCATTTTTACATTTCTTCCACCTTATTTATATATGAAAAAAATTAATTCGCTTTTTAAAAGTTAAAATAGTGATATTTTTACGTGAAATTAAAGATTTTGGTTGTAGCAAATTAAAGATCACGAGCACATGTCTCACATCGGCATAAGTATTATATTTTGTATCTTTAAAAGTTAGAGCATAGCAAATTTGACAAGTTGGCTTAATGGTTGTGTGCCTTGAAAATCAAATTTGTGTGAAGGCAGGCTTTTGGTGTAAAATTATAACTCAGTTCTTACTAACAAGAGTGAATGGGGAATCATTCTACTTATAAACACATAGTGAATTGTTTTAACTAGGCTATATCCCGTGATTTTTGTGTAGTAAAAAATATTGAATTTTCTTTTTTATATGTGTGTATGTTAGATCTTCGTAAAATATTAAGATATTACATTATCATATTATTATCATGAATTTTCTAGCACGCAATAAGATTTGTCTCATTGAACCGCACTTTTCACCAGTAAATCATCTTGCTAAAACTAAAGCTCGAATCATCTTATATAAAAATTATTTCAAATATTTTAACCAAATATATTTTCTTAATATGAAAATTAAGTCAAATTTTGCCATTCATTTGCCCCCAATCCATTGATGCTACCCTGGATTCATCATGCGACAAAATCCAGCTCAGCACGCATCTTAACGCAAATGGAAGGTCCTAAATCGCTCTCACGTACCTTTCTCCGTACACCAACCGGTCAAGCTCTTCGACGTCACGATAAATCGATCCAAAATAAAATAACAAGTGAATAATGCAATAGCCGAAGCATCCATCAATTTCCACACGTGTTAAAATCAATCAAAATCGAGCACGTTTTATAAATGGGGATTCCCCGCAACGAAGAACTTTCTCATGACGCATGAATTCAACGAGACTTCCATGCAGTAGCATCACGTTGACCACATGCTCAAAAAGACCGGTCAATTCCTCCCCCTCCTCTTTCCCCTCCCCTATTTAAGCGCAAAAGCAGCCAAATCCACAAAACCAGATGGATCCCTTCTTCTTCTCCGACCACGATGAGCTCCAATTTCTCTGGAGTTTATCCGAAGATCCCAACGTCGATCTCCTCGACGCCGTCACGCAACATCTCTCTCGTCCTCCTTCGCAGGCCACGTGGCCGAGTTCGTTCTCCAAATACACAAGACCAACTTCCGCGGTGCCGCCGGGGGTTTTGAGCTCGATGTCGAACGTCGATCTCCTCGACGCCGTCACGCAACATCTCCCTCGTCCTCCATCGCAGGCCACGTGGCCAAGTTCTTTCTCCAAATACACAGGACCAACTTCCGCGGTGCTGCCGGGGGTTTTGAGCTCGACGTCACGGGCTCGAGGCGGAGACGGCCGCAATATTCATCGACGGATTATTGAGTTGTTAAGAAGGATTCAGAGAGGTAAACAATCGGGCTCCGGCAAAGGCGGAGGCGGCGGCGGAGGCATTGAAAGTAGTAAGGGAGGAGAAGGGAGCCGCGTGTTTAGGCATATGATGCGAGAGAGACAAAGAAGGGAGAGGCTTAGCCAAAGCTATGCTGATTTACATGCTATGCTCTCTGCTCGGACAAAGGTATTGATACATTGCAATTACAGTAATTAATGGTTAATGTGATTAAGTTTTAATGTCTTGAGTCTAAAGGAGTTGCTTTTATATTGATATGAGTGTGGCATTTTCAAAAATTTGTGAAATTTGCAGAAGGAATTGTCTAACTTGTCCAATTTGATGGAGCAAAAGCATTTAAAGGAACAAAATTTGGAAGATTTACATACATGCTGCTTAGTTCCTGTGTATTTAGACATGTAAAACTAAAACTTCAATTTTTTACGTATATACCATCTTAACTATTCATGAAAAGGTATATTTGACATTCGAAAAGTTAAATTTGTGATATTTTTTATGTGATGTAAGGAATTGGTTGGTATAAATCTAAAAAATAAAATTTAGATGTTACAAATGTAAGACTATAGGAATTGAGTTGTCTGCAAATGCCCCCAATTGTGGTATGCTGATCATAACTGGTTTAAATTAAGTTGCTGAATTTGTTTTTTGAATTAAACCAAATTTGCATTGCATTCTAATTTAGAACAATATCTGATTTATTTTTGCTTTGAATTATCAAATATGTTTACATGCAGGCGGATAAGAATTCGATAGTGCAAACAGCTGCAGCGGTGGTGAGGGAGTTGAAAGGAGTGAAGGAAGGGTTACAGAAGAGAAATGAGGAGCTGATGAAAATGGTGGCGTGAAACTTAACTCTGAAATATTACAAGTGCTAATAT